AGCACAGGGTTAAATCGAGCCGAGGCCACGCTTTGTGCCACGGGCGCCGATGCATTCTTATACGTCCGTACGCACGTAAAAAGCAGGCATTCATTCGACAGCTCGCATACCCACTTGTGCTTCTGTCTCCCAAAACGTGCGCACAAACACCCGGCGTTTCGGGCCTCCAGCTGTTCCCTCCTCTCACAGCACACAGCAGGTGTGAGGTGTAGCTGGACGGTAAAAGCCGGGCGATGCGCGGTCTGCAGAAGAGCTCTTCTATTGTTCGTAACGTGGGTGCACTTTTGGAATTGCTTTGGAAAATTATATGGGATTAAGCTTTTGGCTGCACACTTCAGCTTTTGATCCGCTGTAGCTCATACAGTTGTTATTTAGGGAATATGATTAAATTAGATTCGACAGGTGCTACAAATCCCATTTCTGTTGGTTGTAGTTTTTATGTAAACTTTCGCAACTTTTTCACTCTTTGAATGACTGGAGTTGCATGCAGGGTTCACATCTCATCGCTGTTTCACAAAGTTCAGTACAAAGACAAAGGTAGACTGAGTAAATGCAACTTGCAGTTTTCAAAATCATTTACGATAGAGAAGTGATCCAAATTGACCATAGGCAATGTGAAAAAGTAACAGCTCCTTTTAATAAGTGATTGAGAAACCCTATAGGAGGAAAGAACTGCCAACAAGCATATGTCATGAATGCCAACGAGTCTTTTAAATTGCTGTGATTTTTAAAAATGCACCTATATTTTTAGTTTGAGTTTCTTAACCAAACCTGACTGCTTAGGTATTTTATTAATAAATGATTATATTTTGGGAAGACGTTGAGTGTTTATTCTGTATAATTCCTGTTTGCTGGGGGAACATCAGTGCCCAATCTTATTCCTTTATCTATTGTTCTACCTCACCAGACAGTTGTTTATAACAAAATAAAACTATTTGACTTTTATGTGCTAATAATCAGGTGGTGCCTGAACTTGGTAATTTTCAGATATAAACTTTGTTAATGATTGCATGGGGCACTTATTGTTGGTCGTTCTTAGCCAAATCAAACTTATTATTGGTACAATAACATGCAGGTTTGTCAGACAAATGTCCTGTTTCACATCCTCAAAGTAACAAACTGATTTTCCCTTAGTATTTTCTGGTGAAATCAGAACACCCATCCTTAAAGGGTGGGAGTTTTCTTTTTCCACACGTTAGTAGTTTCACCATAATGAATAATAATAATAATAATAATAATAATAATAATAATAATAATAAAAAACAACTAAAACCACTGATCATCATATCAGTTTCAGCAAAGTGATTGGTTTTCAACTGCTTAAAAAAATCTGGGGGGGGG